ATAAGGCATAGGTCTTCAGTCTCTGTGTCTAGGCAACAGAATGCCTCATCGGATTCTGATTCAGAACTGGATTCTGTCTCAGAGAGGGGGTCCTTCTCTGGTTGCTCAGAGACAAGAGCTTTTCTTCTCTTGTGCTCATACTTCTTGTCACCTTCATGTCCTTTCCTTTTGGACACAATGACGTGTGGACAATTGGCCTTGAAGTGACCAGGTTGTTTGCAGTTATAGCATAGAAGCTCTCCATTGCTATCTGAGGTCTTCTGGAATGGCTTTCTGCTGGAAGATGGAATTCTGCCATCTTTGGGCTTCAAAAGTTTCTTGAACTTCCTGGCAAAGGCAGCCATGTAATCGTCAGTTAAAAGTATGGAAGGGTCAAAGTTATTTACCTTAGAAGTACTAGCAGTGAGGGTTGTTATTGTTCTATCTTCAGGTTCTTCCTTCTCTTCTACATTCATCTCGAATTCATAAGATTTGAGGTCAGAGATGAGCTTTTCTATGCTGTAGGATCTGAGATCCTTGCTATCTCTCATAGCTGTGACCTTCATCTTCCAGGGTGAAGGTAGACCTCTGAGAACTTTCAGGTTGATCTCCTTGGGAGTCAGTTCCTTCGCAAGTTCTGAAATTTCTGTAGTGAGGGTAAGCAGGCGTGCATACATCTCAGCTATGCATTCCTTTGGTAGAAGCTTGAAGTCTTCAAACTTCTTCATAGCTATGGTGAGTTTGTTGTCTTTCTCCTGCTCATCACCAGCTCCTATGAGATGAGTGTATCCCAGATTTCTTTGGCTGATGTACACTTCTTGATCCTGATGAAGTACTTGTCATCTATAGCCTTGTAGAGAATGTCCTTGGCAATGTTTTCAAGGTTGTACTTCCTTCTTTCTTCAGTTGTGCACTCAAAGCGGTCTTTGGTGGTCATCTGTGGTTCATTACCACCAGCAATGTACTCTGAGTTCACCTTCTTGAACTCAGTGAAAGGACCAACATCAAGGACTTCCCATATCTCATCATGGAGGGCACAGAGATATGCTTTCATGCAGATCCTCTAGTCATCAAACTTTACTACTGAACACATAAGATTTTTGAAAAGTGTGTTATCCATAATAAGAGAATAGACAGAGGCTAAGAAACAAGTAGATCTTTGTTCAGCATGTAACCTAAAAGATTGCAAGAACAAGGAGGCTCTGGTACCACTTGCTGGTCTCGTTTACAAAAGGAACGGTCTAGAGGGGGGGGGGGGAGTGAATAGACTGTTCAAGTTTTCAAACTTTTCTCTATGTCTTAAAAGACATGACATCGAAGGTCGAGCTCTGGTGGCAGAACTGGACCTGGCAGCGGATATATTCTAGAAGGTGTTCTGGTCGGGTAGCCTCAAAAAACACCAAGGCAAATGCCTTTCTGTTAACTATTAAGACGAGATCTGCTGAACACAAAGTCCAAGTCTTTGAGAGTTAATCGGTTAGAATCTTAATGCAGAAATATAAAGTACATAAAGTAAATGACACCAAGGATTTTTATAGTGGTCCAAGGAACAACGCGTTCCTCTAGTCCACTGTTTCACTAAGCTTGTAAAAACGACGGATTACACAGTCTTAGTCCTAGCACTTAAGAAGCACTCCTCATCTTCTACAAGTCTAGTTGTCACCCGAGATGCAGGCCTTGCTTCCTGATGACTGGTCTCGTGTTCACTAAGCTTCTTGAAGTATCTCCACTTCACTACTCCAGTTACTTGAGACGTCCCTTCTTTTCCAAGAAGTGTTTAGATTAAAACGGTTTCTCCAACGTAGCTTCGTCACAAAAGATGTGTAGATGAGGCTTTAGAAGTGGTGAAGAACTGCAGGAACAGTTCTCTTTGGTTGGAACACGAAGATATGAAGAATATAATCTTTTCCAACGTAAGCTTTTCTCTTGTTGTAAGGTTCGGAGATGTAGTCTCAAGAGTTTGAATATTTTGCTTGTGAGAGAATTGTTACCTTGCAATTCTTCGAAGTGCATCATATATACTGAAAGATGCCTTCCTGTTGGAGTGTAAAGGACATCTTCATTAAATGCTTGTACTGTTGATTTGACCAGTTGGTTTCAAAAAACTAGCCGACTTGCTATTTTGGGGGCGAGAAAATCTTTCCTTGGTCAAGTATCAGTTTTAAATATCACAACGTGTGAAGCACATTAAATGAGCATTTAATGCGTGAACAGTAGCTTCTTCCGTTGAGAGGCTCCTAGCCGTTAGAGATTTTCCCGTTAGTTTAACCATCTCAGGTAGCACGCTTGTAACTGTCTAAATGTAGAGCAGTTCTGGTAGAACCTTTAATACCAATTCTGTTGGAGTCACTATCTACCTTCTCTGGTGCATCTCTGCTCGAGACAGAAATCCTGAGGTTCTCTGGTTCGTCGATTATGCTAATACTTATATAGAGAAAAATTCTAACACAAGATTTCTAATAGGGGGTACTCTAATATCCTTTTTTTTTTAGAGAGGGTACTCTAATATCCTAATTGAGCTAGCATCATCAAAATCTAAATACAATTTATTCCTTACAATTATTATCCATTGATTCTAAAAATGAAAGATGAAGATTAAAAGATCTCATTTAAAAAAGGGTTCTCATTTTAAGAGGGGTTTTCATAAGAACCCTCCCATATATATATATATATATATATATATATATATATATATATAGAGAGAGAGAGAGAGAGAGAGAGAGAGGAATGTTCAGGTCTGAACATTCCTTGTCCGAACAACGCCGTTCGTGGGGGTTTCCGGTGGAATTTTTTGATGAAATTTTTATGGTATGTTCTTCATCAAGTCTAGTTTATCCATACCAAATTTCAGCTTAAAATTCGATCGGGAAGGCCTTCAAAGTTAGCTTCGCAGTTCTCAGCCTAAGGGCACTTCTCACCTGATTCTCTCCTATATATACGGAGTATATCTATATCTATATATATATATCTATATATATATATATATATATAGGGGATGATTCAAATAAAAAGAGGTCTTAACGTGCAAAGTGAAAAGTTTACACTTTTTCATGTTTCGCTTGCACTTTTTCTTGCTTTTATTGCACTTTTTCGCGATAGCTCAAAAAAATTGGTTTATTTACAAAACTGCCACCGTCATTTTGGCCGAATTTTACCAGAATCAAAATGGGCAAAAAGTGCAACGCAAACAACAAAAAGTGAAAGCGAAACATGAAAAAGTGAAAACTTTGCACGGGAAGACCACTTTTCATTTGAACTCTTCCCTATATATATAGTTACTATTTTGTAATTTTAATTTTATATACAGAGTAATTTTTATATTGCTATAGATATAAAAAAGTGTAATTAGTAACTTTTGAAAAAATATAGTTACATAAAATAATTTCTTTTGATTATATTTTCAAATAAATTTAAAAAATATGAAATTCAATAAAAAATACAAATGGATAATGTAAACATAATGCTTCATATAAATTATCAAACCAAAAACCTAAAATTTATGTTATATTACAAACCATTAGATATAATACATAAAATAAAAATGTAAATATAGTTGGTAAAAATACATTGTTTATTTCTTATATGAAATATACGTATTAGTTATAAAATTCAGAAGTAAAATTAAATATTTTGTTTTAGTTGATATTTTATTTTTTATTTTCAATTTTACCGCAAAATATAATTTTTCATATAGTTTTTATATTTTCAACATGCATTTTATTTTATATATTTTTATTTTTTGGAATTTTTGACATTTTTGAAGGATTGATGGGGTAAATTGAGCGATTCAGTTGGGTTCAGGAGGTTATTTGACTCTTTAAATTGTCATGTCACATGCACAATTGGCACCTTATCGGATGACGTGGACGTGACCAGATCATGATCTTAAAAAGTGAAATTTGAATGTTTTTATCATGTTCAGGGTGTCAATTGGAGTTTTTTGAGGTCAGGGGGTAAATTGAGAATTTCGGACGGGTACATGGGCCTTTTCGACCAATGTAAAGAAGCAAATATTTACAAACCTCCGTCCCTTAAAACTTTAACCAATAAAAACACAAACAAAGAATGAACTAATATTTACAAAATACAAATAAGCAAGAATCGATTAACTATAGTCTATAGAAGCTTCACAATTATCTATCTAAATAATGAACTATAGTCTATCAAAGCTAGAATCCGAACTGCTGAAGCAAAAAAAGAAGAAGAAAAACTCTTACCTGTGAACAGAGAACAAAGAAGGCTCGCGCAGCCAGGCAGGAGCCAGGAGCGAAGCCTAGAGCCAGGGGCCGGCCGGAGAGGACTTCCTCCAGTCCTTCTTCAGTGATCTAGACCTTCGTTCGTGACCTCTTCGGCTCGTCTGCGGACCGCTCCAGTCGCCAACTGGCTTGTCTCCTTCGCAAATCGTCGGGCGCATGTTTATTTATTGTGGATGGCTCGACGAATTACCTCTAAAATCCATATGTATAATGCTAATGCATGTAAATTGTGGGCCCTTAATTTTTTTCAAATTTGTGGGGCTCTGAGGCCCAAGCCTCTCCAACCTTACATAAGGCACGACCCTGAGTAAGTGGATGTATGTACAACTTGTTATAGGGACGAAACATTGAATCTCACCATAAACCATTTTGAGATTGAATTTAGGGACAGAGTTTTACCATACTTTATCAAGAACTTTGTTATAGGGACGAAACCTTCGTAACCTTGGCCCATTGGCACATTGGCCTGAGGGATGGAGGTCTTTCTGGAACTCAAACTGGAGTCCCATTGGCCCCCTTCGTAACCTTCTGCCCGATAACTATGACCATGACCATGACCTGTCCATTTTTTCTGCCTACCAAGACATTCTTGAGCATACTGGGATGCTGCCAATGACCATTGTCCAGACACTTATTGATCTTAAGCCCAATTTTAATAACAATCCTGATGAGATCATTTGGGCCCGCTCCTCTGATGGTGACTTTGCCTTCCGTCATGCCTATGATGCTATTAGAACCGTTGCACCGAAGATAGGAAACATTAATCTGATTTGGAAAAAGCCGGTTCCTAAAAAAATTTCCTTTTTCCTATGGCGTGTGATAAATGGTTTACTGGTGAACGAAATCTCTTTAACTAAAATGGGATTTAACGGCCCTTTTAAGTGTCCGAATTGTGACCATAATGACTCCCTGGATCATTATTTCATGCAATGCACTGCTCATCATAAAATCTGGGATCATTTTGGTTTCAATCCTCATAATCTAGGAACCAACATCAAAGAGTATATTTTAAGTTCCACAAAATCGACACGTTTTTTTTAGATAAAATGATAATCCTTTGGAACCTTTGGAAACGTAGGAACACGGCTTTTTCCATGATTATCTTATGAGTAATCCTGAGGCTATCGTCCGAATCAACAAGGACCTCCATGATTTTCACGGTTGGCAAAATCACTCGAAGGGGAACAAGAAGAGAAAAGCCAATATTTATAGATGGTTGTCTCCCCCTTGTGATAAATTTTCTGTCAATATTTCTGTTACTCAATCCGGTATGAACTTTAAAAGTGGGGTTGCTGTTCGTAATCACAACGGTGAATTAGTTTTTCACCTTCATGGTGAATATTTTGGCACTAATCCCTTCACTGCGTTTTTTGAAACAATTCTCATAGCCATTAATGCTTGCAGGGTACGGTCTCTAAGAATCCACAACTTCGACCTTGATAACAAACATGTCAAAAAGGCCATCCAGCATCATTGCAAAGACCATTGGGATCACATTCATACGATAACGATAATTAGGAAGATCTTGCATCAAGATTAAATTTACATCAACGTAATCCCTGAGAATACCAATGTGGTTGCTAGATATATTGGCCTCGGAAGGGACGTGACATCTTCCCATTTCTTGAGGATTCTTAAGTTTGATGCAATCGGTTTCCCCTATGTTGTTTGACTTTCCTGGTAGTAGGCTTTGGTTGATGTCCTCCTACACCATTTTGTATTCTCGTATTCTAATCTAATAAATTCTCTTTTTATTTAAAAAAATGTTATAGGGATGAAACATTGAATCTCACCATAGACCATTTTGAGATTGAATTTACCATTCAGAGAAATGGTCCCAAGAATATCATCCTCACCATCATCAAAGATGAGGGTGAAGGTACTCGAGGCATGTAAGGCATGCTCGTTAGATGTGTCTAGGGAGATTCCTAGTATTGTACGGGAGGCTTTTGTAGGCTCATGAATGGTCAGGTGAAGCTGTGAAGGTCGTATATATGAATCTTTCGGAACAAGATCACGCACAATACTAATTCATGACAATGCCATTACTGCTCCTGAGGCCATTTTCATAATAAAACATGACTCCACGATTAGTAATACCTCTTAAAACTCTCAAAAACATGCCCATTGCACCCAAACCTCACATAAATAGATGAACCCCCTCCCAATGGCTATTAACTTTAAATATCTCTTAAAGTGTCGTTCAAAATGATGGTTTCCTTATTCATAATCAGTAATCACGCTGGTTCAATGATCTCCCACCATTCTATCAACATCTTTGCAAGTTTTGCCCAAGTTGTCCTTTTTTATTACATTCTTACAACTTTAATTTTCTGCAGAGAATGAAATTGTCATGTCCAGGACTGAACTTGATGGTTCGAAAGTTGCCAAAGCTAAAATTTCAAAGTATCCGCCACTAGGAGCATATTTACACTATCGCGAGAATAAGAAAACTCATATAAGATGACTAACTTGAACTCAGGCTGATTGATCGGTCTATTAATAATGCAACCAAATGCTTATGTGAAGATTGTAACCATCACCCTGTCCAATTTGTAAGCATTTTCAAATTTAATGCTATGAGTTTTCCCCCATGAACTTTAGGCAAGGTCCACTCTTTTATATATTCAATAAATTCATTTCTTGAATAAAGAATAAATAACTCTTCACCTCACATCTATTCTTCACATTAATTCTCAATACCCAAACTTTATAAAGCAATGTTTTCTTTTGATCTGTGGATCAACCCTTAATTTATTACTACAATCGGCACTGATATATATACTTACAAGCTTAGCCCGATCAGTAAACACTTCCAAATACAAAAATTAATTAATGAAGAGAAATAATAATAATAGGGACATTTTTACTCATGACAATTACACATAATATTTTTTCCCATACAACTACACACAATATAAAAAACTTAAAAACAGAATGTTGACACTTAGTATGGGGAAATGACATGATTAAAGGAAAAACATAAAATGAAAATCATTGCACTTATAAATGCATGTTTTATAAATGTTGAAATGCCAGACTTGGTTTACTATAGTTATGGATTAACTTGTTCCACTGGACCCAGAACCAACATTATAGTTCCGAAAATATGAGAAAGGGCCAAGCATGCCACCTCTATCAATAGGAGCTTCCACGATATGAGTCATTGATGGTTGCTTTAGTGTTTGATTGTTTTGAATGCGGAGGGCTTCTAAGCGGCATTTCAGATGCTCTAATTCACACAATTGTAAATCAGAAATAAGAGGTCTACATTTTTCAGCTTCACACCAAGCTTGACTTTCTTTCCTTTGATCATGAATTAGAGACTCGATTTCACCTACCATGGGAGTCATTGTTCTCATGTTAGCTCCATGACGGGCACGAAAAATCTCATCAACAACTCTGGCTTGTGGTGTATGCCTTTCACCAAAGTATTTATCGAGGACAACGTGCAAACATGGGTTTCCAAAAGTATAAACTTTATTTGAGGGTGAAAATATCACCAAAGCAATATCAGCACCAGTGAGAGCACACATTTCACTAGCCTTTTTTATTATACCCGAACAACGTTTAGAGAACGTCACTTGACGATAAACTTCATTTTCGATCTTTTTTAGAGGAATCTTTTGACGACCCCTACTGAGCCTCTTATTGGCAGCATTGCTAGACATTTTTCAAAACTGTTATAATGTATAAAATAATGAAATCAATTGTGATATACATCATAGATGTTAGAGATTGTATTTATAGCCAACCTGTGGTGTCACATTGGCATTTTACGGCATGTTATGTAACGAGGTATAAAATTAATATTGCATTCAATATAAATTCACTTTTATGACTTTTCCAAACAGGTTTTGAATACTTTTATACCAGTATGATCCAACTATGCTAATATCATAATAGCTCTTTACATTTATAGAAAGTAGGTTATGAACCGACGTAACACAATTAAAAACTTCTCAACTTATTAGATATGGTAAGTACATTTATCATCATCGCTTAGGCACTTACATATCATCACTATTTTTAGCTTTGTTGCTAGACATTTAAAAAAATGGGTTGAGAGAGATATTAGATCAACTAGTTTAGCAATGTTGCGATAGCTATAACAAACGCCACAGTGGTACTCTACAAAGAAGGCATACCTAATTGATAAGAGAGAAACTAAAGTGTAATAAATCATTTTCGAATCCTTACAACTTCCCAAAGTGTAGCAATGTTAGAGAATATTTTATGATGTCTAATCATGTTTAATTTAGTTGTATTTGTGTTGTATTTAGTTTAATTAATAGGTTGGACCAATTTGATGTTAGGGCCCATTTATCCTTATGTATGCCCATTATTGTAACGGGCTCAACCAACAGACATAAAAAGTCTGAAGGTTGAGTCTCGAAACCCTATCTATCCATACGAGAGGCATTCATGCACTTTAGGCGTTAGATAGAAGTGAGAGCTGTCCACACACTATAGCGAAATTCTTCAACATTCTTGTATTGAATAGCTGTTCTTCTCTTCTTTGTTCTTACTATTTGGGCGTTGAATTGGGATTCACAATTGGTATCAGAGCCATAGTGTGAAACAGGTTAAATTGATCTGCATCTTTTGGACCTACCATTGACGACTAGACCAAGCCGTTCGAAATTTGCATTTGCTGATCTTTGGTTTGAAGAATCTGCATCAAATGACGTTTTGTTATTTCAGGAAGTTTCGGAGCAAAAATCTGATACAGAACAGGCTTGGAATCTTGTTTCTATAGAATTTTGAAATCTCTATTCGCAGGTTCTGGGAAGAAGATGACTGTCTCAAAGTACAGGTTCTCGAGCTCACGTTCGAGCTTCAAATGTCAAAATTCAAAGTTCACGATCTCAAAGTTCGAGCTTCTTCTTCCAAGTTCGAGCTCAAAAGTTTTCAAAATCTTTCAAAGGCATAGTTCGAGCTATAGGTTTTCGAACTCACTTTCTCGAGCTCAGAAGTTCGAGATTAATCTTTTGAGGACAGAAGCTCGAGCTCGATTCACGATCTTCAAGTTTCGAGCTTGCTTCCCAAGCTTCAACTTTCGAGCTTTTACTTCCCGAACTCCATCTTCTTGACATCAAGGTTTCGAGTTATAAGCTTTCTCGAGCTCAAACCTTTCTCGGACCTCAATTTTTCAAAGTCCACGATGGCTCGAGGACAAGCTCGATCTTACTTCTCGAAGTAAAGCTCGAGGTCCACATCTTCGAAATTCAAAAAATTCTCCCAAGTCCACAATAGTTCGATCTACAGAGTCTCGAGGTCAAAAGGTTTTGAGGTGCAAAAGGGGTGCGGACTTAATTTTGACTCTTTAATACAAGCCAAAATTCCATGTGCGCGAGAGAACCCTCTTCTCACTCACCTTATATTACGAAAGAAGGAGTGACTCATGTTTATAGACTCAAAAAGTCTCTTTGAGGTCCAAACTCCAAACCAAAGGTCAACAATATTGTCAAAGATGATCTAAGCTACATGCACTCTGTAGGTTCAGAAACTTGCAGAAAAGTTCAATCAAACTCACGTCAACGATCGACATTCAACAATCAAACATGGACGGCTCATATAGCTCATCAAATTGTGTGATATTCAACGTACTGAATTGACAAATGATGAGCTAAGGGTAAAATCTTCTAACACGATTCTCACTGAACAAATATGTTCATCACAGGATAAAACCTCTTCCTCGAGTGATGTTAGTATAATTAAGGAATTAGAAGTCCACCTCGCCAATAATGAAGGTGTCCTGAGAAAACACTTGTATGATCATTCTTTTCTCACGGTTCGTCTAACCAATGTAGAAAATGAGAACAATAAACTTATGTCTAAATTAGAGGACTTAGAAGCACGAGTGTGTGACTTAACTAAACAATTGAAAGCTTCTCAACTTGAACGAGGCATTAGTCCATAACCTAAAAATTAACTGACCAAAATTATATTCAAACTGAACACCGCAAATTATATTCTAAAATTAAGGAGTTGGAGAACTTACTTGCTAAGAGAGGTCAAACGGAGAAAACCATTTTCTTAAACCATCCTAAAGACATCACTTTCTACAATCCTAAGGAAGACTTAGATTTCCAAAACCCATGCAATCTAAAGAAAGTCAACGATGCTCATTTGTAAGACATTCGATACATGGGCCTTGGTTTGACGAAATGTATGCACTTCGTGGGAGCATTAGAAATTGATGCTAAAGAAAAGGATAAGAGAGAATAATCCTAAGGCTGAGATCTCGTTTATCTATGCTGATTGGAATGCTAGTTATAAGAGAAGAGAAATTCCTCTGTCTGATAACTAAGCATCACTTTTTCCTCCAGAAAGTAAGTATGAGTCTATGTCTGAGGGCGGAGAACCATATTTTCTGGAAAAAACTAAAACTGAAAATGTTTACATTCCAAAGAGTTATATGTATATGAATTTTCATAGAGATTGAACTTAAATTGGCAGTTTTGAGTAGTTTAACATGGACCGTTTGGGTGAGAACCGTGCATGATGATTATAAGGATTTACATACAATTACAAGACTTGGAATATTCCATAAAGGAACGTAGAAAGTGTTAGCCATATCCGGATTAGGTTGTGATGAGAATAAGGTTGGGGTACGGTACCCTTGGATGGTAAATGATCCTATATACTCCAGGTTGGGGTAGAGTACCTTTGGACGGTAAATGATCCTATATACTCCAGGTTTAGGGTTGAGTACCCTTGGGTGGTAACTAATCCTAAATACTCCAGGTTGGGGTTGAGTA